AGTCATATATTTTTGTCAAAGTTAAAATGTTACAATTGTAATGTTCCTTTTCTCCACCGTAAATGGCACTGCTAGGGAGGTGATTATCTACTGATGTCAAAGTCACTGAAGCAAAAGAATGAACTTTGTCACTCATGTCTAATAGGTAGAGTTGCTGAGTTATACTAAAATTTAATCTACATTCTATTTCCTGAGATGGACCGAATGTTAGTAGAAAGTTAGCTCTAGAAACTCTATATTGAGTACCAAGTGTTACTTCTTTACCATTTCAAAGGCTTTTAAGGATAAGTAAATGTATAGAATTAAAACAAATAATAAACTGAATAATTGCTGGAAACCTTTAAAATCTCAGATTGGTTTATATGAATTCTTTTTTAATTTTAATTTTTTATTGTGAAAATACTGTAAGAGGGGTTACAATTACATGGGTAAGATAATGAGTACATTTCTTATCAAGCATTGTAGCCTCCTCCTTTGTTTCCCCTTCCCATCCCTTCCCATCCTCCCCCCATCCCGCCCCCCAAGGTTTATATGAATTCTTAACAAACACTAAGCTCTATCTATTCAGTGGCATAGCAGATATGACTGGCTGTCTACTTTCCTTCTTGAAGAAATAAATCTTCCCAAATTAGGGGCTACATTTCATACATTTGTGCTTAGGAGTTGTTCAAGTACGTGTTTTTATGAAATAAAAACAAAAGTCACATATACCAGCTGCTTCAATCTTCTAGGATATATACTTATCCCATTTTGTTTGTCCATTCCTCAATTCTACTGCCTTTGTGCAGATATGATCATCAGGAAGTGAAATCTCCATTTGTCCCTTAGGAAACACTGGTAGATTCTAGGTTTATCAGTACAGGACCTGTGAATCTGAGCATTCTATGCAATCACACTGATCTCATCTACTAATTTAGCTTTTTTAAAAATAGAAATAGTTTCTCATTATTATTTTGTTTATGATGTATTTAATTTGTTCCTCCCAAAATCTAATGGGATCAGTTATTTTCATTTGAACAAAAATACTGAGTACCATGCTGCTGAAAGTATGATCTGCTATGGCTGTTTTACAATATTTGTGAACTATGGAGACTGGTATAGTTCTATACTAGAAAAAGTATTCAACTATTATAGTTTGGATTCTTGATCTCATAAGGACATTTTCTTCTTATGAATCTGTACACATATGATAATTATTACCTTAATTTATAAGTAATTTCCTGTTGGAATTTAATCTGAAATGGTTAAAACTGTGGACCAGATATGAAAAAATAATCGATGTCTGTATCCAATTTCTATATATTCTGAAGTACAGTTAAGAAATCCAACTCAGTTATTCCTGGAATTATTTGTTTACAAAAAGTTTTATAAAATTCAGGATGAAGGAAATTTCAAGTATTTATGTGAGTCTTGATATGCTATTGTAGAATCTATTTGCTAGCAAAGATGTTCCATTTGCTAAAATCTGTGTTTGATATTAGTATATAATGCTAGATGAAACTATAGAAAATATTTTCCTCAGAAAAAGTAAATATTAATGAGTTTTTTTTAATGAATCCAGAAGGATATGTGGAGAAAGGGGATAGGAGAGAGGAAATGAAAAGATTACACCATGTTTTAACAAAGAGGAAAAAAAACTTAAAAATAATGGTCCCAATACTTAAATAAAAACATAAAAGAATGTTTCCTTTTATTCCACAAGACGTTTACAAAAAACAAACAAACAAACAAACAAAAAAAACAGCTGCTTAAAACAAACAAAAAACAGCTGCTTTTAGATAAAGACTTCTCTTATTTCTGGTCTTCATGATTTTCCAGGCACTATCCAATTCATTTCAATTTTGTTGCTTATTTGTTGTGCAATTTTGTTTTTTCTCATTTGCTATGGAAAGTTACTTTACAAATTCTATCAAATGTACAACTTATTGAGTATTTCATCTTCAAGTTTCACTGCAGATTCTGTACAAAGAAGGCAAAATAAACACAACCAGAACCCAAAGAGAGGGCTTTTTATTACTTACTGCTTCTTAAAAGATAAACCATGCTCTGTTATTAGGAGAACTGGCTATCTTTTTAAATCAGATATGTAGAGAACATAATTCTTGAAAAAAATAACATTTAAGTGAGATACAAGTACACGATATAAACAAATAAACACACCAATAAGAGAGTGACACTTTTTTTGTAAAGAAAATAAGGAAATTTTGAAAATACTTTAGTATTACATATATTTTTTCAGGGTGTACAAATAGTAATGCTTACAAAAATGCTAGCAGTAGTACTTACTATACACTGCTGAAAATGAGTTATACAATTTTGGGGGAAAGTGGGTCAGGAGGAGAAATACTGGGAGAAAATAAGAAAAAAGGTGACACTGTTCAAAAAGAAATGTACTCATTACCTGACTTATGTAACTATAAAAACTCTGCATATCACTATTACAATAATAATAAAAAGTAAAAACACTAATATTTTTTTCTTTTTCTAAAAAAGAAATACCAATATTTATAATGTGCTTATTAAATACTAAGTCATAATAAATGAAACAGCCTTATTTCACAAATAGGGTTTTACACATTTGTGTGACATTCCAAAATGACAAAAAAAATGTGTGAAAGGTTTTAAAAACAGAAATAGAGTAAAAGTAAGATAAAAATGGTAAAACTAGCAAAAATTTTTAAAAATAATGTATCACTTAAGAAGCCACACTTGAAAGCAATGTTTTCCTAATATTATATTAGTGTAGATTGATATTTGAGAAATAATATTGAATTTACTCTGTTAAACAGAAATAAAACCATAATGTTGAGCCAGGGGCCGGTGGCTCAAGCCTGCAATCCTAGTTACTCAGGAGGCTGAGATCTGAGAATCATGGTTCAAGGCCAGCATTGGCAGGAAATTCTGTGATACTCTCATCTCCAATAAAAACCACTAGAAAACTGGAAGTGATGCTGTGGCTCAAGAGGTAGAGTGCTCACCTTGAGCTGAAGAGCTGAGGGACAGTGCCCAGGCCCAGAGTTCAAGTCCCACGACAGACAAAAAAAATTGTGATGTTGGCAGACATATATTTTAAAATATATTTTAATGATATTTTAAGATATCAATAACTCAAGTAACTACTGTACCTTTTTATATGTTATTAAATTATACATGAACAAATTAAAATGGTAATTTGTCTCTGTCACAGGGATATCAAGTTCAGTTTTTCATAGGATAACAAAATTAGAAATATGGTAGTATTTTCTTTTTAATTTTATTGTATATGTGATGTACAGAGGGGTTAAAGTTAGGTAAGTAAAGAATAGATTTCCTTTTGAACAGTGTCATTTCTCCCCTCATTCTCTCCCAGTTTTTTTCCCCTCCTGACTTTCCTGCCCATCCCAAAGTTGTATAGTTCATTTCCAACATAGTGTCTCAAGGATTTCATGGCTGAATTGGCTCACCCTTTGTCTCTATCATATTCAGAAAGAAATGTAAAATAGCCTATTATAGGCAATTTTAAGCATTATAGATGATATAGGCCCTTTTTCAATTATTTTTATTAGCCTTATTAGATTCACAAGGGAGTTTTATTATGGCATTCATATATGCATGCCAAGCCCCTTGATCAAACATGTGCATTTATTTTTTTCAATATACCTTGATTAAACTCATCTCTATACTTCTCCCCATTCTCCTATCGCTTTGTACACGAGATTCATTGTTTCATTTTTCACACATATTTGCTCTCCTTTCCCCTCTCATCTGTGACTAATATACCCTTAGCAGTATAAAATTCCTGTAATTCATCACGTGTTTCTCCTTGGTACTGCTTTTGTGTATGTAAAAGTACTTAAATCAGATTGACCCCTTTGTTCGCTATCCCTTTCCCCATCCCCTATTATTCTAATATTCCACAGCTTTCAGTGGATATCTTTTGTGTATTTTCAGTCATAGATGTGGTGTATTTCAGTATATCCTGCCCTCTAACATTCTCTCTCCTCTGTTTCAGGAGTTCAAAAATTATAAATATTTGTGTCCACATGACCATGCACACACACACACACTCACACACACACAATTTGTACATATTAGGTACCATTCACCTCACTCAAATTTCTATTTATCTAAGATTGTTTGCCAAAAACCAAGAATATGATCCTGTAAGGATTTACATATAGAGTTTAAAACCTAAGGTCATATTTTGAAACTTAACAAGCTGATCATCATGATTTTTACTCCCCTCTATTTCTGTATTAATTATAAGTAGTTTGCACAGTCTAAAACTTCTACAGATGAATTAATTTGCCTGTTAATTTTTCTAAACAGCAAAGCAATGTTAAAAATTAAGCTTTTTAAAAAAAAATTGATATCCAGTTTATAAATTGTGTGTATCAGTTAAAGTACTTTACAGGTTATGCCCACCCTTGCATTAAGATCAGTGACAAAAAAACCCAAAACTTTGAATAAATACTGTAAGAGTCATGATCATTATGTTTTCCCTGTCCATCAATTGCTAGCAAAATAACTATAGTAGTTAAACTCTTATTCAATTGAAGTACAAATAACTGGAATAAATTGACCCTCTCTGAAATATTTTTTTTATTGTAAAAATTCCGTACAGAGGGGTTACAATTACATGGACAGTTACTGAGTAAATTTTTTTTGTTATTTCTAGACTTTTTAGTAAGGGAGTTTCCAGAAGGACACTACATATTAATAGCAGCATTTAGGAGAAAAAAGGTTTTGTGGTTATTGGGTCTAAGTAGACACTGATTTGTAGCTGGGACAGATGAATCAGGAACTGTGCATACAGTAGTTAGGAGTATCCAGGTAAAAATGGAAGCTAATGTCTTTTTTTAATTGACAAAAATCAACAGAATTTTGTGGCCACAATGTCCTGCCACAACCACTTCTGACATTCAAACGTGAGCTATAAAAAGTGATTTCTTCTGGTATTTCCACTTTATATACGTAGGTATTTCTACACTGAAATAGTTTTATTCATATTACGACTACATACTCAGTTTTTAGAGACAAACACCTTGGTTCAAATTCATGAACCAGTATAGGCTAGAGATACACAGTCAAGTAAAGATGCCTCATGTTCAATCAAGGATGTGCACACATCATTCAGTTTATTCTCTGAACATCATACTCAAGTACTTTACTAGAGTCACTAGCTCTGGGTTTCCCCCACATGCCTCAATTTGTTTATAGGCTTTAGATTCAAGCTCTCTAAGAGCATTCCAAGTGTATTCAAAAGAACCTACATCCTCAAGATAATGCACACAATATTTTTTAATATCTACGTTTTCTGTTCTCTGGCGCAAGATGTTCTGCACCTGGGTACTGTCAGGCCTGGACCAAATAGCGTGAATGGTAGGGAAGGAGAAGTTCCCCTCTGTTAGGTCCTCACAGAAACTCTTGTTTTCGGTATATTCTTTGGATGATAGATTAGCATAATCATCTCTGATTTGGAAAAAGAGCCCAAGTGTATTAAGCAGTGGCTTTAAATCTTCTTTATAGTCAGAGAACAACTGCGTCAGACCTACTGCTAATCCAAACAGTCTTCCGCAGGACCATAGCTTTATATTCATCTTCAGTGGGACAAGTATAAGTGTCCCTCCAGTAAATATCAAGGCCTTGTCCCTCATGGAGCTCCAAAAGCTGGCGGGTAAAAATCTTCACTGCATCTCGGTGATCCAGGGTTAAAACCTTCTCCAAGCCAAGGAAATACACATAATTGGCAGAATTGATGACAGATGGAATTCCATAGATGCTGTGTGCCACTGGAAAGCCACGTCAGAGCTTGGAGTTGTCTTCGATATCGTCAATGAGTAAACTGGCATTGTGTAACATTTCTGTAACTTCAATGATAATCTGTAATCATAGTTGGAGATCTGTAAATCCCAGTTCAAAGCCAGCCTGTAATTTGTCTTCTGGGACTTTCAGCCAAAGTTTGGATCTTACTTGTTTACCTGGTAATTGAAGCAAGTACTTATAGAGCTCTAGGAGAATTCTCTGGGCTGTTTCTTTCTTTTTTTTTTTTTTTAATTTTATTTTATTTGTGAACATACTGTACAGAGGGGTTACAATTACATGGGCAGGATAATGTGTACATTTCTTTCCAAGCTTTGCAGCCTCCTCCTTTGTTTACCCTTCACCTCCCTTCCCAGCCTCCCCCCTCCCCCCCCAATCCCAATCCTTCTCCTTCCCCCCTTTCCCCCCTCCCCCCCCGTTTCTTGTGTCTTCTCCATTGTTTTTTTAGGTTTCAAAGCTGACCTCCCTGGCCTCGGACCTCGGGCTTCCATGCTCACCCCGCTGCCCGCACTGCTCTGAGGCGGGGGCTGAGTAAATTTTTATCAAGCATTGTTGCCTCCTCCTTTGTTTTCCCTTCCTATCCCTTTCCACCCCCCGCCCCCCACCAAAGTTGTAAAGTTCGTTTTTCAACATAACGTCTTGTACATCTCATTGTTGCAATGGGTCCACCTGTATCCCTATTTAAAGGATTTGTTGTTTCCCTTCCCCTCCACAAATTATACCACCATCAAATACAGTGAAAACAGGAGTTGTACTGTTGGGGAGGCACATACAAAACACAAAGAAATCATCTTATAAATATGTTAGAAACAATCGCAAGAAAGAAAAAAAAAGTTTGAGTCCTTATCTTGGGGTTCATTTTGCCTAACATAAATTTATCTGACATTTACTAGTAATTGCAAATAAGGGAAACCATGGGACCTATGTTTCTTTGCGATTGGCTTACTGCACTTAATCCCATCACCTCAGTTAAAATGACTATAATCAAGAACTCTAATAAGAACAGATGCTGGAGGGGATGTGGACAGAAGGGAACCTTATTGCATTGTTGGTGGGAGTGTAAACTTGTTCAACCACTTTGGAAAGCAGTATGGAAGTTCCTCAAGATCCCACTTTTGGACATTCACCCAAATGATCACAAACAAGACCATACTAGCAGCACAACTATGTTTATTGCACCATTATTTACCATAGCTAAGATATGGAACCAACCGAGATGCCTCTCAGTTGATGAATGGAGCAAGAAAATGTGGTATACATACAAAATGGAATTCTATGTGTCCATCAGAAAGAATGACATTGCTCTGTTTGTTAGAAAATGGAAAGCCTCTCTGAAATACCGAATGTATTGTTTAGTTCCTTCATGGGTGAAAAGGTTTGCAAAAAAGTTTCCAATACAAAGTAGTATGGAGGTTCCTCAAAAGATTCCACATAGAGCTCCCCTATGACCCAGCAATCCCACTTTGGGGCATTTACCCACATGTTCACAAACAAGGCGATACTAAAGCTACCAGCACGACTATGTTTATTGCAGCATTATTTACTATAGCTAAGATATGGAACCAACCCAGATGCCCCTCAGTAGATGAATGAATCAAGAAAATGTGGTATATATATACAATGGAATTTTATGCCTCCATCAGAAAGAATGATTTTGCCCCATTTGTTAGGAAATGGAAAGACTTGGAAAAAATTGTATTAAGTGAAGTAAGCCAGGCCCAAAGAAACATAGGTCCCATGGTTTCCCTTATTTGCAATAACTAGTATATGTCTGTGTCAAGCAGAAAAGGTCAAAAAAGTTGATGTTAGGGAAATGAACCCTAAGATATATATTCAAATGTTGTTTTCTTTCATGCCATTGTTTCTAGCATATTTTTAAGATTATTTCTTTGTTGATTTGTATGACCCTCCCCCACGGTATAACCTTGCTTTCACTGTATTTGATGTTGGTATAATTTGGGGAGGGGAAGGGAAAAAACAAATCGTTTAAATACAGGTAGACCCATTGCAACAATGAGACATACAAGTCATATGTCGAAAATGAACTTTACAACTTTGGGGGAGGGTGGGAGGAGAATTGGGTGGGGGGGCAGGGGGAGGATGGGATGGGAAGGGGAACAAAGGAGGAGGCTACAATGCATGATAAGAAATGTACTCATTATGTTGCCCATGTAATTGTAGCCCCTCTGTACAGTATTTTCACAATTAAAAAAAAAGAATAAAAAAAGTTTCTAATACAAATGTTTGTTTAGATTATTTCTAATGTGTGACAAATTCAATTACAGACTTTTCCTTTTTTTACACAAAAATCATAGGAAAATAATGTCATTTCAGTTGTCATTTGCCTTGCTCAATTTCTATTTAAAAAAGATAATTTACCAAAACCCAAAGACATATGGATAATCACATATATATGTATACCTACCAACATACAAATATAAGTTATGTGTGTGTATTGTTCCTATGACTTGCTTCTTCACTGAATAGTGACATATAGGGAGTACATGACCTAAAATAGACAATGAATTTGTGGGAATACTAGTACCTGGTGCCAGTTATGACTAGGTGCAGGAAGTATGCGTGGATGATAAGTATGGAGAAGGCCTGATGCCAGCAGAACACTGCTGCGTTTTGAAATTGCCTTGCGTCTGAGTAAAGACATAGGATTCTGAACAATTGACATTCCACAATAATCTTGTCAAAAGGCGAGGTGAGTGCCTTCATGTTCTTGTCTTACTTCTTCCTGCTATGTTTTACCGTCCCTTTAAAATGCATTCTTTGTTCTATAACCAAAACCACCCCAAGCTCACATGTACTCTGACCCATTAATGGTGAAGAAGAGCTGGGTGCTGGTGGCTCATGCTCTAATCTCAGGAAGCTGAGATCTGAGGATCGCAGTTCGAAGCCAGGTGAAGCTCTTATCTCCAATTAACCACAGGAGTCAGGAAGTGGCGCTGAGGCCTAAACTGGCAGAGCACTAGCCCCAGAAAAAGAGCTCAGGGTCAGTGCCCAGACCCTGAGTTCAAGCCCCAAAACCCCAAAGGGGAAGAAGGACGAGTATCTTCTGTTTAATTAAATCTCTCGTTTAAACATTCCCTGTTCTCATAAACAGTATGGACATATGTCTGGGTATTACTGCAATAACCAGTGGGCCCAGTAATCAGTGGGCCCAACAGTCTGTGTGGCCCCGTGGCCTGGCCTGCTGGAGGGGCGGGGCATAAGAGGCCGGCCTCACCTCTCCACCAATGAGGCCACCAGATAGAGCAGGGCTTTGAGAGGCTGATGTCACCGCCCCACGGGGCGCCGCCGGAGGGGCGCTTGCCATGCCGCCCAGGGGTGCGGGCATGCAGCTGAAGGAGTGGGGAATGCCGCTGAAAGGGGCGTGGCATGCTACTGGAGGGGTGGAGCATCAAGCCCCACGTGGTGAGCTGTCAGGAAGTGATTGGACAGTGGGCAGCTTGGGGGAGGAGCATGAAGGGCAGTTCGAAAACCCATTAGGGAAAAACCATTAGAAGGACCCTTAGGAGAAAACCATCAGTATGGCGTTAGCCAGGAGGAAGGGGAGGGGTAGGAGTGGAGGGGAGATGGCAGGAGGGGAAAGCTTGCCTGAGCAGGGCAGGCTGTGGAGGACAGGGCAAGCCTCGGGAGGACATTGGGGCCTCCTCTGGAGGTCATTGGAGCCTCCTCTGGAGGTCATTGGGGGCCTACTCTGGAGGTCATTGGGGGCCTCCTCTGGAGGTCATTGGGGCCTCCTCGGGAGGTCATTCGGGGCTTCCCTCCAGAGAGGCCCGTGGTGAGGCGCCTCCCGGAGCAGAGCAGGGCAGGCCTGAGGGAGTGGAGAGGCTGCAGAGAGGAGGATGGGAGGAGAGGGAAAGCCTTCCCCTTTGCAGCTTTGCAGCTTTGGAGCTTTGGAGGTCTGAGGTTCGGAGGTTTGCAGACTGACCAACTGGTGGTTTGCAGATCAACTCATAAAGGTCGGGGGTCAGGGCCGCCTGTGGGAGGCTTGGAGGTTTGGTTGTCGAGGCTGCTCTTGGTTCTGGGTATCTAGCCCAGGACAAGGTAGTCTCAACACTCCTTTCTGGAGTAAACAGTGTAAATAAACTTTTGTCCACCTTTCACTGTCTGTGCCTTGATGGATTGTCTGGCTCTCCACAGGTCATAAGTTTATAACTATGGTGTATGAGTAATTCCTTTTATTTTTATTTTAATTAATATTTATTCATTTTATTTATTTGTTTTTGCTAGTCCTGGGGCTTGAACTGAGGGTCTGGGCACTATCCATGACCTTGTTTGTGGTCACCATTAGTGATCTACTACTTGGGTCACGGCTCCACTTCCTGTTTTCTGGTGGTTAATTGGTGATAAAAGTCTCATGGAAATTTTCTGCCCAGGCTGGTTTCCAACTGCCAACCTCAGATCTCAGCCTCCTGAGTAGCTAGGTTTACAAGTATGAACCACAGGTCCTAATTTAACATTATAGTGCCTACTGGACAGAGCAGGTAAGAACTCATTCAGGTCATATGTGGAAGTTTTTCTAAAAGACAAATGGAGGGGTTATACACACAGCATCTTTGCAATAAAATTTTAAAAACATAGTCCATAAAATAAACAGAAAATTACAACAGAAATTTGAAAATAATTTTTGTTTAGAGTGAGTATAACAAAATTGGCATGTGGGTGAGTGTGAGTTGGAGTGATGCATTGTTGAGGCCTATTTTATGAATTGTTGTAGCTGCTTTGTGCATGGTTATGATTTTGGTGAAGTCATGGGTTAACTCTATTTTCTCTGTAATCTTCTAGCTTTATTTTTATTTCATGGCTACAATGTAAAACAAAAGGCACATTTTAATTTTCTTTTTACATTTAGTTTATATTATTTTTTGGTTAGTCATGGGGCTTGAATTCTGGGCTTGGGCACTGTCCCTGAGCTCTTCAGCTAAAGGTTAGTGCTCTGCCACTTGAGTCACAGTGCCACTTCTGGATTTTTCTGTTTATGTGGTGCTGAGGAATCGTACCCAGGGCCTCATGCACGTGAGGCAAGCACTCTACCACTGACCCACCTTCCCAGCCCAATCATGTACATTTTTATACTTTTATATTGTGGCTTTAACTAGAAGCTAAGTGAGCTAAATACCTAACAGTATTGAAATGTAGCTAATCAGGAGGCTGAGATTTGAGGACCGATGTTCAAAGACAACAGGAAAGTCCATAAAACACTTATCTCTAATTAATCATCAGAAAACAGGAAATCTATGGCTGAAAGTGATAAGCGGTAGCTTTCAATGAAAAACCCCAGGGGCAGTGTCTAGCCCCTGAGTTCAAGCGGAGAAGCAATGTCTATGTTCTGAGTTCAAAGGCCAGGACCAACTCAAAAAAAATGCTCTAACTATAATACATTCTCTCTTTAACCTCAGAGCCAATCAGACAAAGTAAAATATGATATTCAATCCAATTACCTATGATTTACCTATGTTCTATCACTTCTAATTAGCTTTTAGTCAGTTTTTCCAGAGACTGTATTCAGGACATAACCATCAATTACAAAACCTTGAAGCTTTTATTTTCTTTTCACTATAAATATTTTCCAATTCCTTACCTACTTCTGTGACTTTGACAAATTCAACTGCTGGAGGCTGATTTCTTTGCTACAGAAAGTTCTGAATAAAAGCTTTTACTAATTCTCATGTGGTTGATTGAAGTAGTTAGTGATCCCTTGGGGAGCAGAATCAACACACACACACACACACACACACACGCACACACACACACACTATTAGTTCGCAAGACCAGAGGTACATAGTTCAACAATGGCTTTCAGCAGACCAGAGAGAGGACCCTGTGGCTGCAGAATTCAAGCAGAAGTAAGTTTAAGAACCCAAGGGAAGCTCCCAGGACTATGGATCTTGTGAATTGTTGTTGAAAACGTGAAATAGCATGACTCTGATGTGCAGAGGTAATGGCAGCTGAAAAGTACAAGTCTTTTCAGGAATAAATGGATTTGAATGTACATGCTAATTTCCTCTGACTTTTTCTGCTTTTCATTTTCTTTCTTTCTTTCTTTTCTCTTTTTTTTTTCTTTTTCTAAGCTATTGGATAAACTTCCCACACTAAGGAAGATACAGCTTCCTCCTTCGTGTTTCCCTGGTAATCATCATCTCTGCAAACACTTTGATGGACGCACCTACAATTTTGCTTCACTAGTCTCTCTCAGGCATCTCTGAGTCCAATCAAGTAGATGATCAATATGAACTATAACAGTGACCATTCTTTAAAAATATACAGTAACAATTAGAACCTGACTAGAAATATCAAATATAAACAAAGATGCACTAGACTACTACTTTAGAAAAGAATACTCTTAATCTGATGTGACTGCATATATATACACACACACACACACACACACACACATATATATATATATACATACATACATATATATATATATATATATATATATATATATTAACTGAAGCTGACTTTGTGCGTCCTATGATTTCAAAGTTTGCTGGGAAATATCATGCTGTTACCTGTCCGATAGAGTTCAGGATTTTGTAAACTGAGCTAACTAAGGAAGTTTATTTTGAGGTAGGTCTAGTGACAAAAAGAAAATAAACTATTCACTCAAATTAACAGATACTACAAAGTGAATCTGATGACAAATTTGCTAATTAATCCCTCCAGAGGATTTTAAAATTTCATTTGAAATGCTTTATTAAAACTTTCAACAAATTAGAAGAGACAGATATAGCAAATCACAACAACTGTGATGTTCATGAAAGTAATTCAGCAAATTCTAGTCATCCTAGTATTTTTTTTTAATCAAGAAAATATGCAATATTTTTATGCAATTATTTTTATCGAAAGGGCTGAAAGAATGAAATAAATTATCTGCATTGGAAAGTACTACTGACATTGGAAAGTAATACTGTCTCCCAGGATCTCAGATTTTGAGTCTTGTTTCCTGTCTTCAAACTCATTTGCATTACATTTTACATTTCAGGTTCCTGAAGGATACAGAAACAACGAAAGAAAATTTAACTTCTTCCTGAAAGAAAGCATCAGTTTGTCTGAATCTTCTTCTGCCTGTATCAAATTTCAATTATTTTAGTTTTCTTCAAGAAATGTATGCTATTTGTCAAATGTATTTCCACTATTTCTCCCTTTTGCATAGTTTATTATCACTAAGCATGGGCACTTGGGTTTCCCTCATCCCTTGCAGGATTCTAGATTGCAGCTGCACCTTTTCTTCAGGAAATGAAACTAGTAAGATATATCATCCAACATCGTTATAAAAAATCAAAAGATCATCAAGGATCAGATCTATCCAGACCCAAATTTATGAATGGACCAACGAATTTCTGGATCATTAAGGAAATCTTGCAAAGTATTTGCAACACAAGTTCCTTATGCAATTGATTACCAACATTATAGTCATTATTACCATCAAGAACCAAAGGCCTTTCAGTTTCAAATATTTTAGAAACTCAGAAAACAAGTGATCGTGATCGATATGAAATTGGGGGGGGGGAGATGGAGATGGGAAGGGATGGAAAGGGGAAACAAAGGAGGAGGCAACAATGCTAGATAAGAAATGTACTCATTACCTTGCCCATGTAATTGTAGCCTCTCTGTACGGTATTTTCACAATAAAAAAAATGGTCTGAAAAAACTGCTGTCCATTTGTTCACTGCAGTTTCTCTGACACATGTGTGGTCAAAAACCACAACCAAAATGCCTGTGAAAATAATTACAGAATTATCTGTAATTTTCTTATATGTAGCTTAAGTTTTGTTTCACTTCATAAAATTCAATACAGTGATAACCTTTGGAACAAAAATACAAATAAACACAAAAATGTTCATCTACACACAAGGGAAGACACACATTTTAGACATTCTTTTTTGAGATGTATATACGTGTGTGTGTGTGTGGTCCAAATACTATCTGAAGGAGCACTAACACCTCAGAATTCAAACACTTTATAGACAGGAGCTCCAGTTCAATATATCATGAAATATTCTTCTTTGGTTAAATTTTCAAAGATTGTAGGATATAAAATTAGGCTTCCGTCATAATTGATAGTAGAAAATTTGGACAATTAGTTCCTTCAGCTTCCCAATTTGCACATAAAATTGCAGGTCCTTATAACCAACTCAATGGAACATTTCAAGCTATCTCACAAAGTAGAGATTAATTTTTAGTAAGTATGTATTTGTTATTATTTTTATGAGGGTTCTAGGGCTTAAACTCAGTGCCTAGTCTCTTTTCTTTCTTATGTGCTCAAACCTGGTGCTCTACCACTTAATCCACAATTCCACTTGCAGTTTTTTTAGTGATTAATTGGAGACAAGGTTCTTTGACAGGTTCTTTTCTGCCAGGGCAGGCCTTGAACCTTGATCCTCAGATCTCTTAGTGCCTGGCTACTAAGACATTATTTTAGTAAAATAATGTTAAAAGATGTAACTTATAAGAAAGAGGAAAAACATTTCCTGCTGGCTGTGCTTTAATGGGAGTTACTTATATAAAGTCATTTTCTATGAGTAGCTTTTCTACTTTCTGAGGTGGGAGAATATTGGGTCATGTCATGTAACAACTTCTCATCTTTAGCTAATGTTTTGAAGTGGATAAAGTAGATGAGGCCCAGGCAAATCACAGGCATCACTTAGGACTTCCTTTTACCAGATATGTATTTCATGATATCTGTTTCAAACCATTCATGAAGAGGTCCCAGGTTTGTTGTCATTCTTTGTTTGTTTTAGCATTTCAAAGGAAAAGGATGCTTTAGGAAGCCTCTCTAATAACACCCAATCTTATAACTTAACATACATAAGTAGGTTTGGAGGGAGGGAAGGTTAGAAGCCTTTTAGTTGTTTGATAGTTTCAACTACTGAGTCTGAAACTTTTATATTTGTGAAAATATTGTATAATTTCTCTTTCATGTATTGAACTTATAAGTGTATCCAGAGGATTAATAGTCACACATATAACTCATTCTATATCCTTAAAACAATGGAGAATAGCTTTTATAATCTACATGGACAGTGCAATAAAACAGAAAATTTATATTCTCACCCCTCATGCATTACTGAAATATAGCTGAACTATGTAAAGCCATTGTGGATAACAAGATTTCAGTTATCCAAAACATGAAAGAATGGCTTATGTATGGGACACAGATATGAGGGTTATTTTGTAGATTGGTACACAATGCTAGTATTATTTGGAACATGCGGTAAATAACAGCTGATTGGACATTTGATTGTAGAAAATGAATGCTTCTCAATTTATAGAAAATGGAATAGAGAAGAAAGGAAAGAAAGGAAAAATATAACTATCACTGCTAATTTGATCATTATTATGTTGTTGAATTTCACTGTTTAATAAAAACACTAAATGTAATCATTGCTTTATCACATTAGTTTCTTTTTTAAGTGTGTATATTATGAATACTGACAGTTAAGGTTAAATATTAACTAATATATTTTGTCCTAGTGAAATGTCTCAGGTAAGCCTAAGCTGATTATTTGAAGTGTTCTTTGTTTTTCCCAAGTGATAAACTGGATATACACAATTTTTATATATAATATAGGAAGACTAGGTTAATAATGACATAGTAAATAAAAATAAACTATTTTTAGAAAATTCCCTCCAAAAAAACCCAAAACTACTTGTGAATGTTTGACAAATGTTCTTGCCAAGTTTAGTTTTGTATGTGGCTACAAAACAATTTTGATTACTTAACCTTCATCTTAACATAGATTAATTTATCCTGTGTTTTTTTTCAAGATGTAGTGAAGTATGACAATACAATATATATTTTATTTTAGGAGAAATTATCTGATGAAGAAATATAGTACCCAGTGTAAAGACAGCAAACATGCATAGAAGTAATAGTTATGTCAAGTAACATTTATAATATATGTATTTTAATATAAAACTAATATACACATATACAAACACATAAATGTGTATGTTTATATGTTGATTGTGTGCAATGTTTAGTCCCTATATAGAAGTGCAATTTTGGGAGATGATAAGAACTTTAGGAGATGGATCCTGGTTGGACAAAATAGAGTATTCAGTTTGTATCTTTGTTCAAGGTCTTTCCTTCCTTTTGTTTCCTGTCTGACATGTGATAAGCACTTTCCTCTCTTCCATGATAATGGTGATCTGCCTCATGTTTACCATAATTGGAAATTCATTTAGTATCAGCATAATATAACATTTAGAAAGAAAATAATGTACACTTTGATGAATATTTCTCTAAATTTAAAAATTGTGTAATAAAATTTCTTTGTCTTTATAATATACTTTTTAATTTTTTAATTTAGATTTAAAAATCCATTGATGAGAAATACACTGATAAAAATCAAACATTCTATCATTTTATTAGTTGTACTTAAGTTTTACATGGTACTTTCAAAGATGTAATGCTTCTAGCTTAGGCTTTAAACAACTACAAACATTGGGTTTAAGTTAATGAACAAATCAGTATAACAAGTTTAGAATGAGTCAGGGAACTCTGAAATCTGCCATCCTTATAATAGCTCTCCAAATTACTCATTAATACTTCAGGAATCCAACTTAGAGCATCCTCAATTTTCTCTCAATATTCTAAGATATTTTAATAACACAATTCTAAAGGACTTGTACATGCAGTGAGTATATATAACATTCAGAATAACTAGCTTCCATGCTCACACTGAAATCAATGTAAGGCAAAGCCCATTATTGAATTGTTTCTTTGGCTCAGTGTGTTCACAATGCAAAGCGGCGTGTTAAGCTTGATGCAAACAATCCTTTGTGTTCTCTAGTTTCCAATTGTGAATATGTTTATGATTAAATTCAACCATCATTTGATGAAATACACAGCTTGTTTAGCAGGAGAGTTTGTTTCTGAATGCAAGATATTAGCATGAATCTGTTTCTCTACATATTCTCATCAGTGAGGAAAATGACAAAGAAGCAGGTTGTTTCAATAAAACATTATTCTGCTTTCTGGTGTTACCATCATCTAATAAACCAATCAGATTGTCTGAGATGAAATATCAAAGCTTCTGCTTTTGACAGTCAGTTGGATATTGTCCCAAACCATAAAACAGTCATGACTGGTCATGAATTTATCCACATGATAAACAATGGCCACCTCTTTCTAATACTCAAGGGAAGCAAAACTTTGGTAACTTCAGTTGTTGTATGATATAATACAGAAAAAATTATCAATAACCATTCCTGAACTATCATGTGGCCAGATGTTCAAGTTCCAGTGTTTCTTTATTTTTTTCTTTCTTATAATTCTGCTTGATACAATACTGCTCTTGACAGCCGCATGTATGTCCACAGAAATCTTTGCTCTTGAAGAGTTTTCATCTCAGAAACTTCTTATTTCTCTCCAAATGATATAAAAATAACCATTGTGGCAAATAAACTCCCTCCAAATAAAATGAAAAGAAGTCAAGGCTGTTTGATGACTACAACACAAGCACCTGCTCTCCCAATATTCAAGGAAGCCATCTGTTGAAGAGAAAAAGACAAATTGAGACAAACTTGTATAATTATATCAAAATATAAAATTACTATTTATAATATTCTTTACATTATCACAATAAATATATTTACATCATGTAATTTCATTCACAAGAATTACAATAAAAATTATTGAAAACCATATTTTCAAAATTAATTGATTTATGTATTAAAAAGTGCTATAACTGTAATCCCCTGTTCATCATAAACAAATAAATTAATAACCAGAAACAAACTGTAAAACCTACAATAATTTAAGAGATCTATAATAATAATAGTAATAATCAAAACAGTAATAAAAATGACAGCACTTTAGTAAAGACAACTAGTTATAGAAAACTTTCCCAAGATGTTATTACTCTGATGTTTGCATAGATTTTTTTTTTGCATTTTTTAAATATTTCAAAATGACAGCTTGGAATTTATTTTTACAGTAATAATTATTGTACTTTCTGCAATCATTTTCAAGTTATTTCCCCAGATAGTATGTTGAACTAAATATATTATTCATTCATTTGAGACATAGAAATGCAAGGAAGTAGCTTCAATGTTTTGTCAGGCATAGAGTATCAATGACTGTAGGGCATAATATTTTTTTTAATTATGGCAATCACTGAAATGAGAAAAGATACTTTAAAAGCACCACACATAAAATGCTTAGATGTATATTAAAATAATTTTAAAGAATTCCCAATGAAAATTTATTCTTTAGAGATAAGCTAAAATTCTAATAACAATTTTTCATATGAAATATTATGAGACATTTTCTTTTTTATTGTGAAAATATTGGACAGAGGGGTTACAATTACATGAGCAAGGTAATGAGTACATTTCTTATCAAGCGTTGTTGCTTCCTCCTTTGTTTCCCATTACCATCCCTTTCCATCTCTCTCCCACCCCAGCTCCTCCCCCACCCCGTGCCAAAGTTGTAAAGTTCGTTTTTTGACAAAAGTTTTGTACATCTCATTGTTGCAATGGATCCACCTGTATTCCTATTTAAACAATTTGTTTTTTCTCTTCCTCTCCCCAAATTATACCAACATCAAATACAGTGAAAACAGGGGTTATACCATGGGGGAGGGACATAAAAAGCAACAAAGAAATCACATAGTACCTTATAAATATGTTAGAAACCATAGCAACCAAGAAAAAAAAACATTTGAGTCCTTATCTTGGGATTCATTTCGCCTAACATGAACTTATCTGATCATTTCTGCTTGTCTCAGACTTATACTAGTTATTGCAAATAATGGAAACCATGGGACCTATGTTTCTTGGGATGCAAAGGTGGTTCAGTATATGCAAATCAAATTAATATAATTCATCACATCAACAAGAACAAGAATAAGAAACACATGGTTATCTCAATAGATGCAGAAAAAGCATTTGACAAGATCCAACACCCCTTTATGATGAAGGTTCTGGAAAAAAAAAAAAAAAAAACTAGGAATCCAGGGAACATTCCTCAATACAATAAGGCTGTATATGACAAACCTACAGCCAGCATTATACTTAATGGTGAAAAACTAAAGCCATTTCCTCTTAACTCAGGAAGGAGATAAGGATGTCCACTCTCTCCACTTCTCTTCAATTTAATATTAGAATGTCTAGCTACAGCGATAAGACAAGATGAAAACATAAAGGGGATCCAAATAGGAAAAGATGATGTAAAACTCTCCCTCTGTACAGATAGTATGATCTTCTATTTCAAGAATCCTATGGACTCCACTCCCAAATTACTCGACCTGATTCAAAACTTTGGCAAAGTAGTAGGTATAAAATTAACCCCTAAAACACAATGGCTTTTCTGTATGCCAACAATGAAAAAAGCATGGCTGAAATCATGAAAGCAACTCCATTTGTAATAGGCCCACAAAAAATAAAATACCTAGGAATTAACTTAATCAAAGTAGTGAAGGACCTCTATGATGAAAACTTTAAAAACCTGAAAAAGGAAATCAAAACAGAACCTCCCATGCTCCTTGATTGGAAGGATCAACATCGTGAAAATGGCAATACTTCTCAAGGCTATCTACAAATTCAATGCAATGCCTATCAATATCCCAACCTCATCTTTCAAGGAAATAGAAGAAGCAATCCAAAAATTCATATGGAACAAGAAAAGACCCTGAATAGCTAAAACGATCCTTAACAGAAAGAACAGGCTAGAAGAATATCAATATCAAATTTCGAACTTTACTACATAGCAATAGTAATCAAAACAGCATGGTACTGGCACAAGAACAGACCAATGGCATAGAATTGAAAACCCAGAAATGAACCCACAGACCTATGTCCACCTAATCTTCAATAAGAGAGTTAAAAATATAGAATGGAAGAAAGACAGCCTCTTCAGTAAATGGTGCTGGCAAAATTGGTTAATATTCACTTGTAGAAAACTAAAGCTAGATCTTTATATATCACCCTGCACCAGAATCAACTCCAAATGGATCGAAGACCTCAGAGTCAAAGCAGACACTCTGATCACATTACAGGAAGGAGTAGGAGAAATGCGAGGTTTCCTTGGCACATACCAACATTTTCTTAATAGAGACCCACAAACACAACAAACCGAAGAAAGATTGGACAAATGGGATTACATGAAATTGCAGAGCTTCTGCATGGCAAAGGACATAGCTAGCAAGATCAATAGAAAGCCCACGGATTGGGAGAAGATCTTCACTAGCCATACAACGGACAAGGGTCTCATATCTAAAATATATCTGGAACTCAAAAAATTAAATGCTCCAACAACAAATCCTCAAAGAAACAACTGCCCAATATATAAATGGGCAAAAACTTAAAAAGAAACTTCTCTGAAGAGGAAAGAAGGATGACCAATAGACACACGCAGAAATGCTCAACCTCCCTAGCTATAAAAGAAATGCAAATCAAAACAACGTTGAGATACCACCTCACACCAGTTAGAATAGCTATAATCAAGAACTCTAATAACAACAGATGGTGGAGGGGATGTGGCCAGAAGGGAACCTTACGGCATTGATGATGGGAGTGTAAACTTGTTCAATCACTTTGGAAAGTAGTATGGAGGTTCCTCAAAAGACTCCATATAAAGCTGCCCTATGACCCAGCAATCCCACTTTTGGGCATTTACCCAAATGAT